GAAAATAGCACATTTATCTGTGGATTTTCAAAGGCTCCGTGTATTAATTTAATATATATAACTGAATATTAAGATGAAAGCAATTTGCCATTAACTGCCAGTGGCCTCATTTGTTACACTCGGGCCTATAGGGCCTCGAACCTCTGACCAGTCTTACACGGTCGGCAACACTTATTCTCTTTTCTTCTTTTGAACATTACTCTATGTTCCATACTTTATCTCATTTTATCTGTTTCATAACCCTGGAGCATAGTGGTTACGAGTCGGACTGCTAACCTTAAGGTCAGAAATTTGAAACTACCAGCAGTTCCTTGGGAAAAAGTTGAGACTTTCTGCTTCTGTAAGGATTTACAGCTTCAGAAACCCTGTACAGGGTTGCTATGAGTCTGAACCAACTCCACAGCACACCACCACCAAATCCCTGTTATACTGAATGCTATGCCAATTTTACATGAAGAAAGTGAGGTTCATGAGTGTTTAGTGACATTGTTGTTGTTATGTGCCATCGGGTCGATTCCAACTCATAGTGACCTTATGCACAACAGAATGAAACACTGCCCGATACTATGCCATCCTCACATTCGTTGTTAAGCTTGAGCCTATTGCTGCTGCCACTGTACTAATCCACCTCATTAAGGGTCTTCCTCTTTTATGCCTAAGCTTATATAATGAGGAACCAAACTGATCTCTGTTTAACTCTAAATTTACTTAACTCCTATACCAGTTGCTTGGCTGACTAGGTAAAGTGATAGTACGTCATTGCCCACAAGTTTATTTAAATAGCTAATCTAGGATAAACAGTAACAAGAAATGAGGATTTAAATTTTTTCTTAAAGAAATTTAAGGTATTTAAGAAAGGTATAAAATTGTCATTGAACCCAGAGTGATACAATGAAGAAGCTGATTGCAGAAGAGGATTCTACACTTACATATTATGGGATAAGGATTGGAAGAAACTATAAGAGGTATAGATAGATAGATAGATAGATAGATAGATAGATAGATAGATAGATAGCCAGAATATAGCATAAGGAGGAGCAGGATTTGGCTTATGAATAGTTCAAAGAAGATTTAACTGAAATTGAGAAAGTAGATGTAAGGAAAAAGATTTGTAGAATTAAAACCTTTTCTCCAAACTGCCAAGACTATGATGTCAGGGATGGTAAATAAGTTGTGTGGGATGACAAATCTGGAAAGGAACTGCTATTTGTGGCACAATGAGAAGATAAACTTGATATTCAATATTCATATTAAACAGTAGCAGGGTTGTATAGTTAAGAGTAAAATTTCATGGCATTATCTCTAGCTTTCATTCACCCCCATTTCGAACTTTTTTCTCCCTCATCATAGCAAAAAGTCACACCCTCTCAAACAAAAATTTTACAAGAAGGAATAACCCACTATTAAAACCAACGAAACTCAGTGCTGATAACGCAAAAGATTTTGGTAGACCACAGATCTCCTATTTCTAGCAGCCCTAAACAAAAAGTGTGATGACTTCCTTTTTCATCACTGGTTATTGTTATGTGCTGTAGAGTCGGTTCCGACTCATAGCGACCCTGTACAGGGTTTCC